CTAGAAAGCATGATATTAGAAATATTAAAACAACACCCTAACATGATACTAGAAATCATAAAAGCATCCTAATATGATACTAGGAATTAAAATAATATTCTAAGCATGATTTCTATATCAAAAGAATAGTTAAGATAGTAGATCTACTCACTTTGATGCCTCGTATCTTTCTATCAAAACAATAAACACGTTAGTAACTTAAAAAAAGATTAAATAAAATAAACCAAATAAATCAAATAAGAATAATTGAAATATAGATTTGGGACCAACCCTCAGAACTATCAACCTTTTACGTCGAGGCCGAAGGCAACTACGAGAAGGGCTTGGAGTATTCAAGTATCACAAAGGACGTATGGTGTTTGTTTAGAAAAGTATGAAGGATGTGTGTTGGGATGTGTTTAGGCTAGGCTAAAAAAGAGAGAGAGAGAGAAAGCTTTTAGCTTAGAGAGAGGGATTAGATGATTATTGTTGGTGATCAAGCTTGTTGATGATTGAAAACGGGGTAAAAAGACCTTTATTTATAAGAAAAAAGAGGGTCGAAAGATCATAAAAGAGTCAGAATCCAACTCGGAGTGAAACAGGTTTCCGTCGCGGCGCGATATTTCTATCGCTTAGCGATATTTTTCAAAAGATAGAATCCGTACGGAATCTGACTTCCAATCAAATTGGATTAATCGTATTTCCGTACGTATTCTAGTTTTACCAGAATTAAATCTATTGAAAAACAAGTGTTTTATCCGAAGTAAAATTCTTAAATTTTTATCTTTCAAAATCAGGATAAATTAGAACCTTCTAGAGGATTCTAGAAGCTAATAATAAATCCTAAGGGACTTAGGAATGACGTTTAAGGTTAATGGACCCTCCACATGGTCATTGAGTCATAGGTAAGGTTCGGTTTGGGCTCGATTTAGTATTCTGGCCATAACTTTTTCATTATAACTCGGATTTGGGCTTATAATATATAGTTGAAAAAATATTTTCAACCCCATCCAACTATACAATTATTGGACCCAGATTATGGACCAAAATAAACTAGTTTGGACGTTTTTATAAAGATGACACGAAATGAAAGATTTTTAATGACACGAAATGAACTATTTTGGGTTTAAAGATACGAAATAAATGATTTTAGCTTAAAACATTTAAAGAAAGGTTAGAAATGGTCAAAGATAAAGGGAAATTCACGAGACTCTTCAACTCTTTACCTAACTCGATAATCAAAGATGTGAAAGGTACTCATCACTGGGTTTGGTTTTTGGGGAGACACAATCAGGTGTCTACACCTACGTAACCTACGACGACTTTGTTGCACCCTCTGTCCACAAGATCGGTTAACTGCATGTATTGATTTGTTTTTCGTACAAGAAGATTTCGAGATGATAGTCATGATCAAACCAATTGAACTAGACGATCACCGAAATAATTATTATTTTAGTGATTTCTCGAGGCATCTACCCGTTTTGAGTCTTCAGGACTCAAAGAGTCGCGACTTTATATGTGAGTGCCTTAATGTGGATATAGATGATCCTGGTATAAAATGTGCCTTACTGAACATTGAGAAAGAGATTGTATGCCAAGGACAACATGATTCCATGCCGAATTTTGATTGAGGATCTGCAGGAACTGTATCAAGAATGTTCTTTAGATTTGCCGCGGTGTTATGGAAGGCTTGTGAAGTCACGGTGGTACATTATATTTACGAAATGAATGATAAAATTGTACCACTTTAGTCACGGTGGTACATTTTATTTACGAAATTGCCACTGTGAGAAACAAAAACGTTTCTCACAGTGAGTTCAGAGATTTACTGCTCAGGTGACTATCTCGGAGCTCAGTGAGAAGATTAGTACGTGGCTCTAAGACGGACTTGATAATAAGCCACAATTCTATTTTAAACCGAACTAAAATTTGGAACTTTATTATATAACCATTTGAAAATTTGTAAGTATTACTATTGCGACTTGTTCGACTTGGTGGTACAATATTGAAGCTACAATTAATCATGTAGGAATAGATGAATACCCGTATCATCAATGTTCATAAGTATGTCCACTTAAAACTTATTGCCATTTTTACACTAGTTTGTCCAAAACTACATTATTGTATGAGTATTTGGATGAATTCGGCTCACCTTGATTAGAAAGCTCTGACACTATATATATAATGAGGGATATATATTTAGAGAACGTATAAGTATTTGGGTTAATTTGGCTAACCTTTATATATATACTAGATTAGTGGTCGTGCGATGCACAATAGTAATAATAATCTTTTTCCATCATTAATTGTGACATAATACAAAAATGAGGCAACTTATGTGGAATAAACAAATGCGATGCATATAGAAAAATAAAAGAGTAAGACAAAAATTATTAAAACTACAATTGAGAAAAAAAAATTATTGTTGATTATATTTGTGTTGAAAATATTTAAAAGTAGTATACATTATATTACAATAATGATGTATATTATTTCTCAATAAAACTATACAATCTAGTGACTAAAGACTTAATTATAAATGTTTTTTAATAAACATGAAAATATTAATCAAACAATAGAATAAAATCTATTGAAACTATTAGCACAACATACATGTAAATATATAAATTACAAATAATATATCACCTTTATATCCAATAAAATAATTTCAATGAAAATAAATACTACTAGGATCATTAAAGGCAATTATAATCCACAATTAGGCAGCACTAACCTATATTATTAATATTACATTTTCATTTTATGAATTGATGCTCTACATGATATCGTCGTTTTTAGTTATTATATAAAAATGTGTTTGGTATCCAATAATTGTAGTTTGATCATTATTTGTTTATTAGCTTAAAATTTTATTTGTAGATGATAACTATTTATCGAAAAAAAGAATACGTGTCTATAATTCAGCAAACGATAATAATTTTTTTGTATTCACTAAGATATTAATGTAACAAAACAATTGATTGATATTTCACATTTTCCTAGATATATACCTATGATATAGTTGTTGAACACAACATTTATTTTATAGTCATATCTAATACTCCATCAGTCTAAGAAACAACATATTAGAGGTATTTGGAAAAAAATTAAAGTGATGTTTTAAAGTATTTTCTTAATATCAATTATATAAATCAATTTTATTATTATTTTTTGAGAAAAATTCAATAATACTCCGCCTAGGTGTCTAGACGGTAATGATAGTATCTGGTAGCTAAATCAGTGGCTTACTTTTTCTATAATTAAAAAAAAAGTTGGAATAATATTTTTGGTAAATGTGTATAGAAAAATTAATTTAAGAACACTAAATAAAAAGAAATAAATTTTATGTAAAGATAATATATAAGATTTGGAATAATTTTTATTATAATTGTATTATACAAATATTTCAAAAATAAAAGATTTTTTTTGCTAAAAGAGGAGGGGAGTTTTGGAGGGATCTGTTTTAATATTACGTTATTGATTTAAGAATGAACCATACTATATACATAATAATATGGTATATGGGTCAACGCATAATACATATTTAGAGACAAAGAGAGTAATTAATTTGGGAGGAATAACTTACAACAGTTCCTGAAACGCTATGTTCACGATAACTGGATTTAGTCTCATAATTATTCACTCTTCTTATAGGCACAGTTCCTGAAGGGCATCCTCCATCCTTAAAGCGGATTATGTCCAATAGTGATTTTTCAATCTTGGTCCAAGAGTTAGTATTATTGTTGGTGCCCATTTTAGGTGTAGAACTAGACCTCAACTGCACAAAAAATATAATTCAAATTAGAATTTAATTAATAACATAGATAATGGTGTATTTCTAAATTATCAGGCTTTTGCTAAACATAACCTAGTCCCTTAGGCCACAACTCATAACTCCATAATTGTCAATGTAATTAACAAATTATACTGGTAAAAAAAATGTGATAGATGGAACATAGCAAGAATGGTCATAAACTATTTTTGTTCCCTCCTCTGTCCTTTCCTTTTTTTTTTTTTTCCGAAAATTCTATGGTAATATGACTATCATTATACTAATTTTTTATTGGCTGATTTTTTATCTATTTTTTATGTCAAAATTAATTATAAATGTTTTTTTTTTTAATTTTTAAAATTTACTTTTTACTATTTAATATTCTTTTTTTTTGAGGAAAACGGATGGTATGCCTTAGATTGATAATTTGTCCATCAATACATACGGGGAGACCTCATAAGGATTATGGTTCTCCCATACTTGTTCACAACCAAAAGGCACAATACGGGCTAAATGATGAGCTACACTATTACCCTCCCGTTTAACATGACTCCAAGAGATAGAGTTAAAAAAATTACAAAACTTAAGCACATCCTCAATTAAGCCATCGAGATCAGTGAGAAATATGGAACCTTTGCATAACCTTCCAACCAAATCTTGGCAATCAGACTCAATCACAACATCCTTGAACCCATAGCGCTTCGCAAGTCGAGAGGCCATTAACACCGCTTTGCATTCAGCTATGATGGGAGACCAATAAGCTCTGGAGCGTCTACAAGCAGCAAACAAGACCTCGCCTTGGCTGTCTCGTGCTACCACCCCTAGCCCAACCCAACCATCATCACATAGGGACGCATCACAATTGAGTTTAATAACTCCTTCTGGAGGAGCTTGCCAAGACTTGGGGCTGCTCTTCTGTTTTGCTCTAAGCACTCAATAAATTCTCTCCGAGGCTGAAATACATTCACTCGCGAGTCTTCGAACTCTGTCAACAAGAACAGGGTGAAAAGTTTCGCGAGTCTTCGAACTCTGTCAACTATTTAATATTCTCATAACGAATTTATGAATTATTTTTTTATTTCAGTAATAATAAAAAATGAATTTTGTAAATTAATATGAAAATTACAAAAAAAAATCAAAATTATGTCATAATTAACAAATGAATTTTTCAAATTAGATAAATGATTGGAGACTAATCCAAGCATATTATACTGCTCATAATTCAAGGCACACAATGATAATCATCCAAAGCTAAATAAAATTTTATTAGTTTTCATTCAAAGTACATCAAACTAAACATTAACAGGAAAAGGTCCACCAAAGTAAATAAATTTAGCATTTTCCTGATTTGTAACAACAGCATTATACTCTTTATTATTTGTAAACTCTTCAAGATCTGGAGTTGTGACAATATTATGAGCCTCATCTACCACTTGGAATTTGCAATACGCGAAATTCGTCTTTTCTGGAAGTACATCAGGATATGTCCCTGCTCCCATAACTGGTGCATCTATAGGTTTTACAGTGCCTTCAGTTTTTACTTCTCCTCCACATCCTGCATATGTTGCACCATTTGCTAGCCCTACGAATATATCCTTCGGCCAAAACCCGAGTTCGACGTTGTCCTTTCCTTCTTGGAGATAATAATTCCCATTCTTCTCATCCTGATGTACGGGATTTAATATGTATCGTCATTATGTACGTAAAAAGTAACGTGTAACCATTTTAGTGAAACAGATAAAGTATGTCGTATGTGTATGTGTATGTGTTGTACTCTGTATGTAGAATATTTACACACGTTACCTGATAGACAAAGAAAGAGCTTGCGTAAATTGGTCCTGTAATGTTGGATAATGGAGACATTACAAAGTTGAGGGGAATATCTGATCTTGTTACTACAAATCCACATTCTGAGTCGAAACAATGTTTATCGCCTGCCTGTAAATTGATCATGATAAAATCGTTGATTGATTAGTTAATCAATAAGTAATTTGGACTTCAATTCATATTGACATATATTGGTAACAAACTATCCCTAAGTAAAATAATTACTCGAAGTCACATTTTGCTATATATCTTACGTTTGCGTAAATGAAGAACCTTGTTTGATTGTCGCCGTATTTCACTGGATTAACCTTGCATTGGAAAAAAGTAAAGAAAATGGTAACTTGATTTTCCATCTTAAGTTACTACCAATAATGATCATTTTTAATTCAAGAATAATCAAATTTATATTTGAAAAAAAAAACTTACTGTCCAACCCGCGATAATAGCGTCATTACCACCTCTAAGTATTATTTCAGCAGAAGTATACTGGTTTGGTTTAACTTGTGGGTTCCAAACGCTGATTTCTCCGTAAGCTCCATAATATTTCTTTGAGGGATCGTTTTTGGTTTGACCCAACGCAAACTACACATGAAATAAATTCATGCAATTACTCACCGCATATTTCAATGTATAATTAATTTAGTACTCATCGCATATTTCAATATATCATCAATTACAGTAATTTTAATGTAGTCGGATTGATTAATAATAGACTACAATTCTATCTTAGAGAGTACAAAATTTAAAACCTCCACGCATGATTGATACATGTATTATTGTTGGGATGATCAGTCGATAGGTTAATTTGTATACATATTGAGATGTTTATTGCTTATTTTAGATTTTTGCCTACGAGTTTTACCAAAATATAACTACTTCTTCAATAAATAAAATAATAAATAAATAAAAAAAATAATTGAATGTCAATATCACTTGGCTAAATTTCCTCAAAAAAATGGAAAAACTTACAACTACTCCTGAAACGTCTTGCTCTGGGTATTTCCAATTAGTGTGATGATTATTGACTCTTCTTATAGGAACAGTTCCTGAAGGGCACCCTCCATCCTTAAAACGGAACATTTCTAGTAGTGACATTTCATTCTTGCTCCAAGAGTTAGCATTGTTGTCAACCACCTTAGGAGTAGAACTCGATCTTGTCTACTCAAATATTCAAAATATACGTCAAACAGGCAAATGGGACAAATGAACAGGAACAAATGAGGAAGTATTAATTAAGAATTTAAAGTTAACATATCATACCTCTAGATAAAAATTGTGAATTTTTAAGAGAGGATGATTAAATGCTGGTTGCTTGTAAAAGTCTATGCAATCATATATATCTCCATATTCTGTCTGAAAAACATATTTGTACTTGTTAATAATAAGCCGAATAACTGATATAGTCAAACTTTGCACACATGTCAATGCACTAATTTAATCTTATTTATTTAATTAAATATTAATAAAAAATAACAAAAAAAAATTTATATTATGAAACTTTATATTAAATCCTGTCTAATAATATATTTGATGATAAAATATGTTTTTATTAAATTCATCAAAAAATTATACTCATAATTAATATATGAATAGTGAAAAGAACTCTAACGTGTCAATTAATCTGGGATGGAGGGAGTATATGAAATTAAGATTTATTTATCCAGTGTAAGACATTTAATTTTTTTTACAATTAAAAGATATATTATAATTAGCTGAATCAATTTTAATTACTTCAAGCATACGACAATACCTTTTTTTTTTTTTTTTTGGAGAAAAGCATAATCAATTTTATTTTTAATAACGAAGTATGAATACTTTTTACGTAAATTTTTTATATACATATACATGCGGGTGTAAAATGCACTCAAGGATTTTTTTGCTTATTTAATATTTTAGTTCATTTTAAAATTTTAAACTTAGCAAAATAAATTATATCAAACAAGAAAAAACAAATACCATGTAAATTAAATGAGCAAAAAACTACCCCGTGCAGCTACTTCTATGTGCACCCAAATATACATTTAAAAGGTGTTGTTTTTGTTATACATTATAAAATAGTTTCAAATTTGTTAAAGACCTTGAAAAGTACCTTAATTGTCTTGGCAACTTGATCTGGTCTATCTTTTTCGAAAAGCCCTCTACACCGGGAATTAGTGGGAAAATTTGATAGAAGGAATAATGAAAGAAATGCATAGACCAACATCTTTTGTGCTTGAACCATTGTATAACTTGCAAACCTGCATTGATGTAAAGCAATATAATTAAGTGTATATGACTAAAATGAGCAATGAAAGGCAGCATTTTGCTAGTTGAAGATGATTATTGATTTATAATTAAGTACCTAAAATAATTATAATCCAACACTCTCACAAAATAATATAAATAATTATTTGTTTAGAAGCTTTTGGTTGAGGGCTTGAAGCTCACTGACAAGGCCTACAAGACTATATATATATATATATAATCTATTTCTGAATTATTGACATAATTTGATTGACTTTTGCATAGGTCTTTTAAATCAAATAAAATGTTATTAAGTAGGTATTAATATAATATTTTATGACATTAATATTTTTATTACTAATATTTAATTATTTATATTAATGGTCAAAATAGTGCATTGACAAGTGCGATATAACTTTGTATTTGTGTCTTATTATTTTGAAATGGAGAGAGTATCTCTCTAAGTTCTTATTTTGGTAGCATATCAAAGTGTACAATTATTAAAGTGGAAATAATCAATATATATCAAAATCCAAAAAAATCTTGATATTTTACCAAATTAGGAGATAGTTAAAGCTACAATAATAACAATAACAATAATGATACTAATAATTATAGATAACAATAATTCAATTAAATAATTATAGGTTGTGTATCTTTGATGGATGAACTAGGTTAGGTCTCGTGCCATGCACGATATATTGTAATTTTCATTATTAAATTAGCAATATATTTAATTAAAAAAATTCTAAAACTATTGTGAACAAAGTTTTACCAAAATATAGTTATTTTCTTCTTATTTCATGTCTTTACAAAAATTTAAACATTGAATATCACGTGAAAGAGTTGTTTAGTACTTTAGTCGAATGAGTATTTTAAAATTAAATTATGTTGAATGACTTATTTTTTAAACTATTGGCACCATTTTCATAATATGCCACATACAAAACTTATGTTCTGTAGTTTGAAAAACATTACGAAAAACAACTCTCATTACAGGGTCTTGATCGGAAATCAAATAAACAGGCTCATTATTTCCCATGGCTTTAAGAAAAGTATTAAGAAACCCATTCAAAAGAAGGTATATCTTCGTGAGCTACAAAAGAAGCCGCAAAAGTAACATATTTCTTATGGTGATCAACTCCAGTAAATGGACCAAAGATCATATTATCTCTGTAACATACAAAAATTATATATGCAGAAAATATTAGAACATAAGGGTAAACTTAAGAACCTAAAAGTTTTAGAACATAGAGATAAACTTTAAAACATTAAGGATAAACTTTAGAGTATAGTAATTTACTTTAATTATTAAACTTGTCAATAACATAGTTACTTTAGAACATAGTGAATTACTCTAGAACACATAAATAATAAATTTAGAATATAGAATGAAACTTTAAAACCTAATAAGTAAACTTTAGAACATATAGACATAATGTTTAGAGCACAAGACATACATAATGTTTAGAACATCATAACATGATGGATATTGGTCGAAAACACGAAGCATAAAGTGTAAAACACACACTACAAGAAAACAGCTTGATACGGAAAAAATCCGTCGGAAACAACGGAAATTCCGTCGAAAACTGGCCTTCCGACGGAATTCAGTCGGAATCAGTCTGTCGTAAACACCTTTGTAGGAAGGGACGGATTTCCGTCGGAAGGCTATTTTCCGACAGATTTATTTCTGTCGGCGCTTTTTTAGACTTTAATTGAAAATCCGTCGCAATGTTTCGACGAAAATTTCCGTCGGAGTTGGAGAGGTTTCCGACGGAATTTTCCGTTGGAGTTGGAGAGGTTTCCGACGGAATTTTCCGTTGGAAGAGGTACATTCCGACGGAATTTTCCGTCGAAAAAGTCAATAAAAAAAGCCCCACCCGACCCAGAAAAACCCCTACCCACACCCACCCCACTTGCCCAGAACAACCCCCACCACCCAGACCACCCCCACCCACACCCACCCAGACCACCCTTACCCACACCCACCCCACCTGCCCAGAACAACCCCCACCCACACCCATCCAGACCACCCCCACCCCCACCAACCCCACACCCACCCCACCTGCCCAGAACAACCCCCACCCCCAACCCACACCTACCACACCCTTCCCAGAAAAACCCCACCCACACCCACCCTAGACCACCCCACCCACACCCACCCAGACCACCCTACCCACACCCACCCCACCTAACCAAACCGAACCCACCCCACCCTAACCAAACCGAACCCACCCCACCTACCCAGAAAAAACCACCACCTCACCCACCCAGACCACCTAACCAACCCCCTAACCCACCCACCTAGAAAAAACGCAAAAAAATCCAGAACACCCAAATTGTACAAACCAAATCGAAACAAAAACCAAAAAATCAAACCCAGATCCAAACCAAAAAATCGAAAAAAAAAATAAACAAAATCAATTGAAATCGAACAAAATAAATAAAATATACAATTATCTTCTTAAATTAATAAAAAAACATTACAATTATATCAAAAATTAATTATAATCAGAATAGTTTTTTAAAAAAAAAACTAGATCTAATGTTGTTGTTGTCGTTGCTGCGTGCTGGTGTCGTTGTTGTCGTTGCGGTGGTGTCGTTGCTGCTGGTGTGGTTGTTGTTGTTATTGTCGTTGCGTGGTGGTGTGGTTATTGTCGTTGTTGTGTCGTCGTTAGAGTGGTGGTCAGAAAAGGGGAAAGAAGAGGAGAGAAGGAGGAGATCGAAGAAGATAGAGAAGGAAAATGAGAAAAAGAGAAGGGGAAAGAACGAGGGAAGGAGAACCAGAGAAGTGAGGAGAGGAGAGAGAAAGAGAAGAAGAGAAGAGAGGAGAGGAGGGAGAAAGAGAGGCGGAGAGGGAGGAGGAGAGGAAAGAGAAATGAATAGGGCTTGAGGACCGTTTTTTAGGGTTTAGTTTTTTTTTTTATTATTTTTTTTTTAAAAAGTTAGAATTCCGTCGGAAAATGTTTAAAATCCATCGGAAATTTATTATTTTTCGACGGATTTTTATCCTTCGGTATTTACAGCTTCCGACGGAATATTCCGTCGGAATAAATTTTCCGATGGAATATTCCGTCAGAAGCAGGAAATTCTCGAGGGAAAAAAATCCGTCAGAAATATTCCGAGGGATTTTCCGTCGCAACAAACCTTTTCTGGCGGAATTTTTCGACAGACTCAAATTCCGTCGGAAAATTCAAAATTTCAGACGGAAATTTCGTCCGTCCGTCGGAACAATTCCGTTAAAAAACGGCCTATTTCTTGTAGTGACAAGAGCATAAAGTTTTAAAACATAAAAGCATGATAGATATATTTTAGAACATAAGGCATATATGTTTAGAACATCAACATATATGTTTAGAACATAAGATATACATAGTTTAGAACATAAGACATATATGTTTAGAATATCATAAAATGATGGATATTTTCTTATGAACACAAGACAATAAGGCATAATGTTTAGAATATAAGAACATATGTTTAAAAAATTAGGATGTAAAAGTATATATTTAGAATATAAGAACACAATAAATATTAGTTAAGATTATGAAAGAAATATATATTTAGAACATCAACTGTTTGTTTTGAAAGTGGTACCAAAAGAAACCATATCACCAAAAAGTGCATAATTTTTCCGACAAATAGGATCAGCCCATAAAGCTCTACAAAGTTTATCTTCTTCATCAACATCATAGTCAAAGAAAAATGCACTCCATAGCAATTTCTTATTTTGAAAATTATCCACAAATATTTGGGCATCTGATATTTTTGAAATCTCTATAAATTTTTTTGAAATCTTGTTTAGATGCACCAACATAATCATGTGATCAATCTAATTCTTTCACCATAGTATAAGACCTCACAAGACCAACATTTGCCTGTTTAAAAAGAGAAACAAAAAATTACTATGATTAAGGATAAACTTTAGAACATAATAAATCATAACAAAGAAAACATTATTTAGCACATAAGAATAAATGAATTATCAACAATCAACTTTTTATGCATAATATGCAATTTTCTATTATCCTTCTGAAATTTTGCACAATTTGGAGTATATAAAGGATAATTATGTTCTTCTTTGAAATGAGTAACAACATACTTTCCGTCCTCATATCTCATACATATGTGAGCATTGCATCCTACGCGAGTGACTAAACATTTCCTAGTAATACGAACTTTTCCTTCTTCATCAACAGTTTGTCGAGCAATAGATTTTCTTATTGCCTTAAAACCTTTCTTATTGCAAACTCCATATTGAAAAGTAATTACATCTTTGTTATTCTTCTTCCTTTTAGTAGTAGATTTCCTAGAAGTAAACCCAGCAGCATTTGCATATGCTTTGTAAAAACTAAGACCCTCCTCGGGATCTTTAAATATCATCCCCACACTGGGTTTTAACTCCTTGGGAACAATTGGAATCCATTCCTTAGTGGTATCGCTAGGACTACATGATCCATCAACCTCGGGAGTATGATAAATAATACCAACTGCATTAGAACATACAAAAATACATTGAAACATGAAAGTAAACATTAGAACATAAAAAGTAAAATTTAAAATAGAAAGTATATAGAACATACAATGAAAGTTTTAGAATATAAAGAAAAAAGTAGAACGTAAAAATAAACTTAAAAAAATAAAGAGAGAGAGATACATAGAAATAAAACTTTAGAACATACAGAGAAAACTTTAGAACATTACTAATAAACTTTAGAACACAGTAAAGAAACTTTAGGACATGTAAGTAAAGTTTAGAACATGTAAGTAAATTGAAATTAAAGCATTAAAAACAATAAAATTACCTAAATGAGTTACAGAGGAAGAAGGAGAATTAGGTTCAACACCATTTAAATCCATGAATATGCAAAAACTTAATTTCAAAAACACAAATTGTAGCAAAAAAGCAACCTGAAATTAAAATCCAATAAAATTCAAGCAAATAAAAAAAATTAGAAAACTAGAAGGCGAAATTGATGAAATTAGGGGGAAAAAAACTCAAGCAAATTCGCAAAAAAAAAAAAAAATCTAGAAAAAAAAAATCAAAAACAAAAAAATCGAAAATTAAAACAAACAAATTGAAAATAAAAACGAAGAAATCTAAAGATGTAAACTCTAAATTGATGAAAGTACAAACAAAATAAGGAAAATCGCAAAAAAAAAAAAAAAAACGTGAAAAATCTCAAATAAAAAAAACAAACAAATTGAAAATAAAAATGAAGAAATCTAAAGATGTAAACTCTAAATTAATGAAAGTACAAACAAAAATAAAAAAATAAAAAACTAAATAATCACCAAAAAAGATAGAAGAATCGAAAAAAAATTGCATGCAATATCCGGAAAGAAATCTGGAAAAAAATCGAGAAAAAACAAGGAATAAAATGGAATCAGAATTCTTTAGGAATTGATAAACTTACCAGAGTATGAATTCGTTGATGAAGATTGAGTACTTTTGAGTTTTTGAGGAGAGAGAAGATGCTGAGGAGAGAGAAAATGTTGAGGAGAGAAAAACATTATCTTGAGATTTAGGGTATTTTGTTAGAAAGGTAATAAAAAAAAATCGGATTTTTCACCAAATACCACTGAGTTAATGCGTAATTCACCATATACCACACTAAATTTTCTAATTCACCAAATACCACTCAGTTAATGTACATTAACACAAAATGCCATTTTGGGAAAATATCGTTAACGCCGTTAGTAATTAAGGTTAAGTGTGCCACGTGGCAGCTTGTAATTGGTTCTTATTAATACTATTTAATTACTTAAAAAAAATAAAAAAAAAATAGCCACCACCACCTTATCCCGACATCTCTCGCCGGCACGGAATCCGATCAGAATCCCCCAGTCGTCGATGCACTGGCCTCCCCTTGTCGCGCCTCTCCTGCCCCCTAAACCACCAACCCCTTCCTCGAAACCAACTCCCTCAACCCCAAAACCTCCTCCTCGAAGAATCCCCAAATTCTCAATCATTCCTCCCAAAACGAAATCAGATAATTAGGGTTTCGAGATGAAGGTTGAACATCATGGGTTTCTTCTATTCTCAAAGCTTTAGGGTTTGGTTTCGCTCGATTTTAGGGTTTGATTTCGCTCGATTTTATGGTTGATTTTTCTCGGTTTTCTCTCTTCATTGCCGCCATTAAAGAAACCTTTTCATGGGTCATGTCAAGATTTGGGGGCTTTTCTAGCAACTAGGGCTGACTTACGGGCTGCCTTGGTGGCGTGTTGCGTCAGATTTGGGGGTATTCTGGCAAATTTGAGGAGGGAGGGTTAGGTCTCTAGGGCGTTGTATTGGGTGGGGCGTCGGAGCGAGGAAGGGAGTCGTCGGCGCGGATGGTTGAGTAGGAGATTGTTCGGTCAGAGGAAAGATCGTGGGTGGGTGGTCTGGGCGGTGTTTTGGGCGTTTGGGGTTCTGGGTTGGTGGTCTGGGTGGTGGTTTGGGCGTTGGTGGTGGTCTGGGTGTTCGGTCAGAGGAGAGAGAGAAGGTGGCTGTTTTTTTTTAAATTTTTTATTTAAGTAATTAAATAATATTAATAACAACCCATTACAAGCTGCCACGTGGCACAATTAACCTTAATTACTAACGACATCAATAGCAGTTACCAAAAATTGGCATTTTGTGTTAATGTACATTAACTAAGTGGTATTTGGTGAATTAGAAAATTTTGTGTGGTATATGGTGAATTACGCATTAACTCAGTGGTATTTGGTGAAAAATCCGTAAAAAAATTGTACATAATTACAAAAATGTCATTACTAAAGGATGATTTTAGATGGTTAGATCAAAACTAATAAATGACTAAGATTGATTCTTATATATAGGAGGGTTCTTATATACTACATCCGTTTCATATCATTTGCAACGATTAGGCATTTTTTCTCTATGAAACGGAGGTAGTATATATATATAGCTAAAAATTTGGGCAACTTTGGGTTATAAAAATTAACCATAACCCGCTATTTTAGGCCAAAAATAAACCAGACTCGAAATTTGAGCCTAAACAGGTTGGGTCGGGTCTAGCCAGAGGACCGGGCCGGCAAGTGAATGCCAATTGCCAAACTCCCAAACTAGACCGAGTCTCCAAGGGCATTTACCAAATGTATCGATATGTATGTTTGTTGGACCTCTGTAACACTTGCCAGAATTTTGTTAAGAAACTTTTTGCTCAACAATGGCGTTGTGGTTAGACTCAAATTCTGAACCCCAAACAGAGAATGAAAAGGCTGATTTAGCTGCCATTGCTGCCCTCAAAGTTTCTACTGCTCTTGAACTTAAGGTTCTTTCTCTTTCCCTCTTTCTACCCTTTTCTTCTTTACTTTTAATTTCTGTAATTTCAAACTTTATGTTGCAGATTATTATTATACTTGAATGATTGATGCTGTATGTATATATATATTTTGTTGATTTATGTTCTGAAATACCCAGTTAGTATTAATTTATCTTCAACTAATTTTCTAATTGATTTTATTTGTTTGTTTGGAACCTTAATCTCTAATTCTAATTGCTACTCTCTTCGTTTTGGTGATTGTCTCACAAAAAAAAAAAAAAAAAAAAGAAAAGTTAGTAAATCAACTTTAGTGTTCATAGATTGAAAAACTAAACTCATTCAATTTGTGCTTGTTTTTGTTGTTTCTTGTGCATTGAAAAATGTGAAAGTTGGCCTAAATTAATAAAATTCGGAAGGATAATTATTTTTATGCTATATTTACTGTTGGGTGTTTTTTAGGATGAGGGCAATGAGTATGTTAGGAAGGGGAAGAAGCATTACAAGGATGCTATTGATTGTTACACTAGAGCTATAAATCAGAAGGGTTTAGGTGAATCAGAGACATCGATTTTATTTGCGAATAGAGCCCATGTAAATCTTTTATTAGGAAATAACAGGCGTGCTTTCGAGGATGCTGAGCAGGCCGTTAAGCTTTCTCCGACAAATGTTAAGGTTTGCCACCCCCTTGTTTGTAGTAATGTTTGAAAAATGGGTTTTGCTTGTTGAAGCTTATGACATCTTGTTTAATGTATTGGACTATAGGCAATATATCGTGCTGCTAAAGCTTCGTTTGCTTTAGATATGTTGAAAGAGGCTATAACATATTGTGAACAAGGACTTGAACTGTCTTCTGATAATGAAGACCTAAAAAAGCTGGTGAAGCTTGCTAGTGGGAAATTGGCGGAACGTGAGAAGCATGAGGCTGAAGTTTCCAAAGCTTTGAGAGGCGCTAAGGTATACAGTTATACCTGTTGTTTTTGAATGAAGGGGTGTTTTCTGAGTTGGCAGATTCTTAATATCGAATGTGCAGGACCTTCTTTCTGCCTTTGAAGATAGAGGATTGAAAATTGGCAAAGCAATGTTTCGTGAACTTACTGGACTTAAGAAACCAGATCTAGACAAGAGCAAGATTCTTCATTGGCCAGTGGTTCTTCTCTATCCAGAGGTTATGTCCAGTGACATAATTGAAGACTTTTGTGAGACAGACATGTTTTCATCCCACCTAGATATAATATCCTTTGTTGCTTTCTTATATATGTTTGTTTTGTTTCTAGCTTCTTTTGCACATATTTAATGCATAATATAAATCCATGATATTGCGACTTTATCAATTTGCTTGACATTTTCATGGTAAGTTCATCACATTCGAATTCATAATGGAGGTTTTGGAGGATAGGATCGTTTGTGGATACCCTGGTCTTTTTCCTTGATGTCTAATTGGGGATCACTTCAGTAATATACCTGAAATTTCTTCGGATGCTGCCATTATTTTTTTTTAATTTTGCGAATCTTAATCTCATTTTAAGTGTTTGTAATTTCCTTAGCATAGAAACATGTTTTCAGAAGATTGTCCTCCACTGCCATGGGATAAGGAAAATGTGTACACTCGTGAAAATATTGAATTATACTATGAGGTGATCTATCTTCCTTTCCCTTATTGCTTTCCGAAGGACATTAAAATAGTTGCTTATCTAATTATTGGTCCTGTCTTTTGTTTTGGCTGTTTATGGAAAATATGAACTGTTTCTCTGGACTCTGGTTACTCAGCAAACTTCACTATACTTGTTGAAATGTTTTGACATTTTGACAGAGTAAATATCCACCATATCGTACAATTTTTCTATATAGATTTTTTGTTTTCCAATGTCACTGCATTTGGTAGTTGGTACGATGTGGGTATTTTCTAGATAAGGTTTTTGATTTGGTACCCTGTACTTAAGGTGCTCTACAGAATGTAGAAGAATTGAACCTATGCAGGACTGCTGCATAGCAATGTGACAACCAGTGGACTAACTTTACATAGATGTATAATGGTTGGTCTGGCATATATGTCCTAGTAGAGTAGTATCTGACTGTCTGTCTTATGGTTCTTTGGTCTGTGCATATTCCAATGGTGAATTATGGATACCAATGACTGATGCTGTAAACCTTAGGTTGGCTCATCAGTTTGCTTGTCAAAGACACGCATTTTGCATTATCTTTTGGAAGGTACTCCAGGTGCTGGTGCAGTGAGCATTGATGAAGAAAAAGATTCTTCAAATTATGGGAGCCCTACAGGTATTGTATAATTTACAGCTTATCATTTAATTATCGGAATAAAGTAAAATTTTACACACTAGATCAGCAATTATGTCGTGCTTTGTGTATTCAATTTAGTGCTAGAGTACATCAGCTAAATCCTCGAAATTTGTTTGTAGTTTATCATTGGTACTTGCAATGGAGATGTAGGTTGACTGTTATGAATTACTTTGAATTTCATGCATTTACTTTTTAAAATGGTAATTCATTTTTTTGGGGGCAGAATGTCACTGCAGCTGAGTGCTTTCTTCCCCTCTAAACATTCAATTTGTGTTTTGTTGGGGTTTTGTAAGATACATAGAGCTTATGACAGCCATCTTCAATTATGTGATTACTTGCCAGGTAAAGGCCCGTCCAGATGGGTAAAAGTCAACAAAAAAAGGACACTTCATGATATTCTGAAGGAGCCAAATCTTGTTATTCCTGGCATACCAGGTACATTCCTTACCATTCTTCTACTTGCTAAACATATTTCAAACATTTGAGTAAAAGGGGACGGGTGGCAGTGCGTAAAAATCTGTATTTGAATGGCAAAGAGGGTGAGAAGGCAGGGTTGCTGCTACGTGCTAGTTGTCTTAAAAAATCAAAACTTTGCATTTTCTTTTCCTTACCTTGGCTAATTCATTGTTGGTACATGCAGTTTTTTACATAGTGTCCAAAAGCTCCGCCTTCTACAACAAATTTAAATCTGGCAAATGGGCACTCCCTCAGGTGCCTGGTGAAGATACTGCCTGAATTAGACTATTTTCCAGTCGATGTACTTAAGGTCTGAAGAGACAGTGGCTGCGTTTCTTTTAGATGGATCATTACATTTAACTATTTAAGTAGCAATGCTCAAGGAATCCTGTATGAAGATGACAAAAGGCCAACCATGTACTAGTGCAAATGGAGTTATGATTCTTAAGTAGTTATTACTTAGGCGGTGCCATGGATCATTGTATGTAACATGAAAACACAATTTTCTTTTAATTTTTAGAGATATGTTATCAATTCTTGATTTTGTTAGTGTAGGTACTCAATGCCTAGGTAAGTTAATGGTTTCAGGTTCTAGCCCTATTTTCTTTCATTAAGTGACTGCATAAATGGTAGTTTGTTGTCAAGTTTTGGAAGTTGTGTAAAAGCCTCTCCAGTCTCCATGAAGGCTGCTCTACATGTACTAACGATTGAAAACGCCAATACACGATTAAATATGGAATACCTGCATGTATGTTTGTGTTTATGATCTATAACTGGACATTCTTCAGAGCATCAATGTGCTATATTGGAAACTGCATCAGTAACAATCATGATCTAAAGCACAAATAGACTTATATCTATAAATTTCAATCCTAATCCCTCCATCCGCAATATCATATTTTTCAATCCTAATCCCTCCATCCGGAATTAGACACATTGTCCCAACCCTTCACAATTTAGCTACTTGTATAAAAATTTTGTATGATTTCATGAAAAGACAATGATAGTTGAGCTATTTTATTACTGGCATTATTTTATTTCTGTTTATTGAGCATGTCCAAAATAATTTGGATGAAGGCGTCAAACCATCAACATAGCAAGTCAGATATCCTGACATTATACAAAAACTACTAATTTGGATGGTGTGTTTCTCAAATTTCATCAGAATTTCTTGGTTTAAAGCTGTAGCAAAATCCATGGAGAGATAAATTGGTGTTACCCGTGCCTGTAAACTTGTAACATATGGAGCAATAAACTTGTTCATGACCTTTTCATTAAAGGGTGATAGTATTGTTACAAGAGTTAAAATGTAACATCATGTTTCCATCCAGAAAGAGTAGCAAACCATGTGAAAGATGTAACATAATAATTTTGGACTAATTGATACATTTCTGGTGCAATCACCTACAGTTTGTGTTTAGGTAGTATACAATCAAATGTTTCTATCGCTCAAACAAGATGCCATTAAGGAAATATGAAGATCAGCACCCTAGTGAAAAGACAAAATCACAGTTCAGTGCTTTCCTCTTTTTTTGATGACAAGTACCTATCATAAGAGATGAATGGAAATTGTTAGATTGAAGTTGTTTCTTGGCCTTTACTTAAGCATAAAACACAAAAGAAGAGATGAATCAGCAGTTAGCCCAGTGTCCAAACAATGAAGATGTGTATATCAACTAACAATGAAGATGTGTAAATCCCTAGCAGAAAACTGCCAATGTTGGGTAACTACCTGAGAAATATTGGAAGCTAATAGCAAAGGAAAAAATATTGAGTGCTTTTGTGGCATTACTTAAGCTTGTAGAAAGCTGAATATACAAATGACAAAAAGTTGTGACCTTGAAAATTCTTCCAAAAGTTCTAAGCATTAAGCGTGATGACGAAAAAATATAGATGATATCGTCATAACTTTTTTAATCCCATATTGTATATACGAACATCATGACAGAGAGAAGACTCGTTCATAGAAGAAATGGGAAAAAGACAAATATGTGTTAGTCAATTCATACAAGCAATCCACTGTTCCTGTCTTATATGTATAAGATTAGACACGTACAAACAGACTAACTCTTCACATAGGCAAGCAGGAAGTACAGGATAGATCAAGCAACAGTACCTACTAGTTGGTGAACATCAAGTTACATCACTAAGCTTTACAAAGGTAAGGGCCATTTGTCCGGACTGATCAATTCAACAAGTAGAGCCAGGTACCAGTTGGTAATTGTGTTCTACTTGCATCTTGACCCTAAAATATTCCGAGACCTGGCTAGCCCCAGAATCCAGCTGAAGTGGATAGACTGAAAGACAGTGGCATTAATGGTTGAACATGAGATTTTCTGTAAATTCCTAGTAACTGTAAAACTCAAGTTTACAAAAGATATGCATAACACCACACCCTTTCCAACCAGTCAAGCACCAACTGATCTCATAGTGCACAAGGTCAAAAATCTCGAAATAGAGAGTACACAGAACCATTGAACATGTGACAACAGAGCTCCAGGGGAGGGGAGGTCTGGTCCTTGAACAAGTTTCATGAAATTGCAAGCAAACTAGAAATACATTCAAACCCGGCACAAGGTAGCCTTTACTTCTCAACAAGAAATTAAAGATCCAATAAAAATAAGTGTGCGGACATCGGTTACATAATCTCACCCTATCTCAACCCCTAATAAGAGTGGATATGAAATCAATAAACAAAGAATGACCTAAAATTATTTGACAATGAAGGGCAGAATAAAGTATACATGGAATTCTAGAAGCTGCGGAAATTCAGAAACCTTACCCATTAGCCCTTGCCCATCTGGAAAGTTGGTATAGCTGCACAGTTTCATTTGAAGCATGGCATGCCAGAAGTAGATAGTTGCGAGGCTGTACCATCCATGCAAACCTCATGAATAATGCAGAGTAAACACACATTGCTGCAGACCGGAAAATGACAACATAAAAATCAAATTATCTTGAAATACGCTTAAAGCTTAGAATCAACAACGCAACAAAGCCAGAAATGTCAACCTGAAGTCATGTTGCCTGATATCTTTTCAGGGGGTTTATTCATGTCCACAAGCCCCTATATACTCCAGCAATCATACAAATAATTTCATTGGTAAACTTCAGATAAGAAATGCGTATAAAATTATCCTTACATCTGAAGAGAAAATGTCAACAAGTCCAAAACAAAAGTTTAGAAGCATACAGCGACAACAAATCCCCAATTTGCAACAGGCCCCCAAAAATGAGTTGTTTTAGGACCAACAGGGCTGTTCAAAAATGCACGGAATGTAGAAGCCATGAGTCACCTGTACCAAGTACTCCCACAATTAGTAAGATGTGTTAGCATCAAAGACTTCTCTTAATTAGCAAGTCTAAAGTGCCACACTTCATTAAGAATCACTGACCACAAGATCGAAAACATGAAGGAAAATCTAGTCCCACTACCAAGAATTAATCCATAAGACACCCTCTTTTATGCTTTTCCTACATCAAGTATTCTTTTCCACTGCCGGCAAGCTACAAACAGATTTAATAACATATCCAGCATTGACCGAAAACCCGGGAAAACAAAAATCGAATAGGAAAATCAACAGCTCTGTGTAGTAATTCAATTACACCACACCTTCCTATAATCATAAACTCGGATACTGGCAATAAGTTACACACAGTTTTAGTCCTACACTCCAATTCTGAGTTCACCACATAATCAATCAAACTCAGTGATTTCACAGCTTAATAATAGCCTAACTTAACCCAAAATTCAGCTTCTTGTACTAAATTGGACCCAAAAACCATCAAACTCCATTAGAATCATATCTCCATCAAGATAAAAATACTTCATTTCAAGAATAAATAAAAAAGGTCACACAATATAATAATTAAAAATACCCACAATTTTGTTTGGACAGAAGTATAATATTAATCAGGTATAATAATCAGAGTATGCTAAATTGCTAATTCATACATACCAACTATTTCCCAAATTAAATTGATATCAATGGATTTTCAAACAATAAAATAGTCAAATTTTGAAAAAAATTCCCTTCATAGTGAGATAGAAACAGCAAAGAAGCAAAAAATGGTTAAAATTCAAGCATATAAGTCAATTCCCCCAATTATTTGCATCAAGTATCAAAATATAACATCAATTAATGATCATACACAAATTAAGTATCAATAAAAAATTATTACATTTTAGAAAAGGGTAGAAAAATCAACAACAAAAAAAAAAAGGAAAAAGATAGGGAAGATGAAAAGGATTGATGAGAAAAAAAAAAAGTAGAGAAGAATTGAGAGAAAGGCATACCGAAGAGTTGATGAAAGATTGACGAAGGAGCAGCAATGCCGAAGAAATGAAGAGAGAGAATCTGAGAAATGGTCTTTCTCTTTTTCTCGAGCAATTTCTCAATATTGCTAAAATACAAATTAATTTCTTATATAAGTCCGTTTAAAAACTATTTTCCACAATACCGTCTCTTATGATTGGTTCCTAGGTTTGGAATTTGAAAATATAAAATCGCTAACAATGTTAGCGATATATAAAAGCGCTAATAATAATGTTTCAAAAAAAAAAGAAACGCTAATAATAACATTAGAGTTCTATGCATAGAACCACTAATACCATTAGAGTTTCTATGCCCATTAGCGGTTCTAAGTTAAAACTACCTCGTTTACTTTAGCTTTCACTTCTGCTAGATTATATAATAGGAAAATTTAACAACAACAAATCAACCTTAGCTTCGTTCTTCCAAAATGGACCAACTTTTAAATCTTTCCAAAATAAACACAAGTTGGTATTTGATCTCTCTTAGTAAACTCAAATGACTTGTGACCTGAATAACCGGTCACTTTTTTTTTATTTTCCTTTAATTATCTTTTTTAAGTTAATAAAATTAAATAAAATAAAAACTCAAACCCCTAATCCACTGTCAGCCCCTCCTCCCCTGACCCCACTGCCAGCCACCCCTCCTCCCTCCGTCTGTCAGCGGCCAGCGCCCAACCCAACCCTAGCTAGGGATGTACATCGGTCCAAAACTGGACCGGACCTGTTGGGACTGGAACCTAAATTAGTGAATTTTGAGGATCGGAGATCGGACCTGATTCAACAGGTCCGGTTCTGGTTAAACCTGAACAATCAGGTCCGATCCGGGTTTGGACCTGAACAGACCTGCTTTGTAATTTTTTTTAAAATAATTAAACTTTTATATTAAAAAAAAAATAAATCATTTTTTCCCATTCTTCTTCTTCCTTTTCCGCCTCCATGAAAGTAGGCTCCATTTCCGGCCAGACCTCCGCCCACCACACCTCCACCTCCGGCAACCCTCAAACCCCTATCTCTACCACCGAAATTTTTCCGTTCTGAGGCCCACCATCGAAAACCTATTCCTTCCCCCATCCCAAAACCCACCCATCCCCCTCTCCCTTACCCACAAATCACTCCCTCCCCTCCACCACCAAACTTCCGACAACCCACCCCTCCCTTTCTTTTTCCTCCTTCCTTTCTCCACCATAAATTATGGCAAACCCACCCCGTCAAAACCCACCCAACCCATCGAAACCCCACCTTTCCTGTCGAAACCCAACCGAAACCCTGAAACACCCACCCTTGAACTCGAAACCCCCTGAAACACCTATCTTTGCCGCCACCTGCACCTTCCCTACGAACTTCATCCCTGCGATTGCGAACTCTCACCTGCAATTGCAACTCCAAATCGCAAATTAAATCGTTTACATTTGAAATTGAAACCCTA